GTTCTACTTGAATCGACATTGTAAGAAATTTATCAGCTGGGATTCGATTGAACCTTCTGTTAAAACCAGACAAATAAGTGTATTACCACGGAGTCTAGCTAATTTCTTTATGCTAAGAATATTTGTTTCTGTAGTCATTCCAATCCCGTTACATGTGCCCATCCACAGGCATTTTAAGACTTTGCAGAAGCTTTGCCTGGTTTCGATAACCGCCATTTGCTCCACCGTAATGTAGTAGTTTTACTGGTGTAAAAATCTGTTTAGCCTTTCAATCCTACGGAATAAGATGAATCAGGATTGCTTTTGATCGAACTTCTGTCGCTTTCTTGAGTAAAAAGGCAAGCAAGCTCGAAACAGCTTGACCCAAAGCTTAGAAAAAATGGTACACTCTGTTGATACTTGTAGAGCTTTCAAAGGAATTATGAGAGGTGTCTTTCAGTGAAAGGAAGTGGAAAAAATGCTGAGAGGGAAGAGACATGGATTCGAATAGTCACCTTGCCAGCGGCTCGTCGCGATGTAACGTACTGGCGATTCGCAAGCCTGCCAAATGGTGCAATGAATTAATTATTGTTCGAACTAAACCAGTAAGTACAACGTAAGGTTGGGGGAAACTCGGGGCCTGCGCCTACCTGATGAGCCCCAAGAAAGGCGAAACCGGTCGTGGGCTGTTGAAGAGATTTCAGCAACTTTATGAGTAGTATGTTACCGGTAGATATCATTACGATACTACGAATATCGTACCAACTGAACCATGGGGCGACCTGGTGCACCATATTCAATTGGAGTAGACCACTATAAACGAGAGATTCATCTGGCTTCAGTTGAGTCTCATGTCATAACCAAATTTGTCTGAAAGAGAGAGTATTTGTCAAAATCTGTGCAAGTTGGGTTCACTAGAGCATAAGGTTGACGAAAACTCTGGGAATGCACCCACGTGATGAGCTGCAAGAAGGGCGAAACCGGTGGTGGGTTGTCGAGGAGTTTTCAGCGACCCAGTGTGTAGTCTTCTATCGCTGGACAAGAAATGAACTTGAGGTTTCCAATTTCTTCAGGTAGAACACAGGCCGAAAAAATATATTATATATCTTTCTGTTCAAAATTTTGCTTGGTTCGCATTCACATCAGTCTTTTTTGAGCAGTTCTACTCCCATTGTGGATTAATCGTTCCGGTGAAACCACACCAAAGGGATGGAAGCGCTGGGCCGGAGTTCCGCACTTACTGGAGCCAGTCAAAAGTGAGTATCACGCATAAACAGGACAGGACGTGTAGCCAGACAGTGAATCCTCGTTAGATCCAATCAGCCAATGAACAAAACCACCTGCGTCCACTATCTGAGCAACGGCTAGGCTCAAAGAGCGAGAACGAACAACAAGAAAAATGGGTCTATCTAGACGTAACACACTACTCATAAGTTTGCTGAAAGCGCTTCGACAGCCCACGATAGGTCTTGCCCTTCTTGGGGCACATACCTAAGTTCCCGTCAAGCTTATGTTCTGTGTGATGAGCTAACATTCACAAAACGCTTGCCTGAGTATTTATTCTCCCATTCCAATACAGTTGTTCTTGTGAGACCGCTAACTGAAAGGAGATAGGACTGAATTGGAGTTTAGCTCTTAGTTAAACGACCCCATGATATATTCCTCACGGAGGTATATTTCATACCAGTTAACTTTTTGCAGGAAACACCTGAAATCCAGCTGAATCTCTCGTTTATGATGTTTCCTCTACTGAGAGTCACGGCACATCCAATTCAGTCACTCAGTCAACTGTCGTTTTAGACGCAACTGAATTCCCATGGTTTGTGTTTGCACATCAATCCTCATAGTAAGACACGGAGTTACTGCCCTAAAGTTTATGCGATTCGTCAATATTAGAAGAACCAGCTCCGAACGTAACGGGACTACCTAACTGCCAATTTAATAACCGTTTTTCGTTCAGACAGATTTCATTGGTTGTTCTTCATTCGCCCTTGACAGATAAGTTGCATTCTTAGTATCACTTTTTTGACCTGCTTGTACGCGACAGTGATCAGTAGAGCAACTTGCTCGCACGTTCATTGACTTTTCTGGTTTGGTCAAGCGCATCAGGCGATCGGGCGGCTATCCAGACCGAGTTCACGGTAAAAAAGAAGGCAATAAAGGACTGTGGTCCACAACTGTCAACAGACCGGAAACAAGTCATATCTATGCTCTTCCAAATTATCTGGAAAGAGCCAACCAATCCTGTCCGAATTAGATGTAGTGGAAAGAACATTCCAACAATCTCGGCCTTGGAGCCAGACACGAGGTAATCAAAACGACCCCTTAAATCGTGCCAACAAAAATAGGTTTTCCTGTAGGTCACACTGTTCTGGTCAACTGGGACAACATAAGTAACATGTGAAGATTTTAAATGATACAAACTTTCATGTAGGCCTTGTTTGTCATTCGCACCATATGAGACAGTTAAATCTACGTGGGGCTCGACCGCGTCTTCGAGTTAAATTCCGGAAGTAGCTGTTTTCCGCGAGTTGTTATCTACTTTTAAATGTAATGAAATTGCCATGCGCTCTTCTAAGGT